ATGATTAGGCTGTGCATGTCTCCACCCAGCCCACCCTCCTGGAGTCCCCCACAAATTGACCTCACTGGGCCTGCTTTTATGAAAGGTTTATTCCTAGTGCTAAGCCCCAATCTTCCAGGGCGCTGAGCACAATTAAACTGGGTGGGTAGGTGGGAGGCGACCCATTCAGATGTAGGGCCATTATCCCCACACCTTTGGTCCCAGTCCCCTTCTCTGCAATGGGCACGCATTGAGGAGGGACAAAGGATGTTGGAGGCAACATTATTGGCCCAGGGGAGCCCAAGAAGAGCTACCACTGGCTGAGAGGGCCTTTTGAGGTTCTGCCATTGGTCAGGGGGCAGACCCCAGGAGCTGGGTATAGGCCTGAGGAGTGATGCCACTGGCCAAGGAGTGGTCTTGTCATAGCCTTTGGCTGTGGAGTGGAAGGAAAAGATCTGGGAATGAAGCCCAGTGGCCAGGAGGATTTAGGACAGGGTGGCAGCTGCTGGGCCTACTGGCCCCCTCCCCACAGCAGCTTGGGTAAAACTGGTGTCAGGCACCAGCCAGGGAGAGGGAGCCCAAGCCACAGGGCAGGTGGCAGGGGGTGTCCCATGTCCAATCTCCCCCACCCTGGGGCTGACCCTCCCAATGTCCTTCTTGATAGCCAGGTTGGTCTGTGAGCAGCTCACTGCTCCTCTAGCCAGGAGGGCTTCTCAGCTCCTGGCGGCCGCAGCTTGATGTTGAACTGCTGCAGGGTCTGCTCCAGCTGTTTCTGGTTCCCAGCAAAGTAGGCGGACACAGCATTGTGGAAGAGCAGCAACTGCTTGTGCATTACCTTGATCTGGGGGTCCAGCAGGGTCACGTAAGGCTGGACTCATGTGCCCTCCTTCAGGGGCTATGAGCCTTAGACTGGGCCCAGACCAGGGGCACCTGGACTCTGCTCTGATGGTGCTTTTGAGTAGGGGCTGAACTCCACCAAGGGAGTCAAATGAGAAGGGGCAATCTGATGGGAGAAACCTGACTTGATTTGCTGGGCTTGGGGTTCTGGTAACCCAGCCCAGAGGGTGATTTTCCCCAGTTATGTTCCCAGAACCAGCAACCAAATCCTCCAACAGAAGAGGGCCAGGGATTAGAAGGGCAACCTGGCAAGGCCCGGGGGTTGAGGAAGTTAAAAAGGGAACATCCCACTCCATAGCCGGGCTGCGTTTCTCAACTCAGTGATAGGGAGGGGCTCAGGGGAATGTTGGTGTTACAGATGGGAATGTGGACTAGGGTCAAGGGAGTGGGGTTGGCACCTTGTTTTCTTCCAGGAACTTGAGCTTGATGGCCACATCTCCCCGCAGCTTCTCATACTTGTCCCGATGGGCCTGGAAAGTAGCTTGGGCGCTCTCGAGTCGGCCCCGTGTCCCTGCGTCCCGGGGGCCTAGGCTCAGCTCCTCTAAGTCTGTTCGATAGGCATCATATTCCAGCCTGGGGAGGAGGGTGATACAGGCTGGTCTCCACTCATTTGTCCTCCACACATACTGTCCTTTCCTCCTTGGATGCTTATACCCCTACTGCCCAAACTTCCACCCATGCCAGCCAACTCCCCAAACCCTAGGCCCTGCCAGTGTCCACACCTGGCAGCCTCATACTGTTTGACAGTCATAAGTGTGTCTTCCATGGTCTTGGTGACCAATGTGTTGATGCTAGAGACAAAGAAATTCACAGCCCCTAGCAGCGTCTCCCCATTCTTGCACAGCAGCTTCTGTGTCTCTGCATTGTAGCCAAATTCCTCCTGAGGGCAGAAGGCAGGGACAAGCCGTGAGTAACAGACCCTGCCTGACTGGAACTATAGGGCCCTTCACTTCCCTCCTCCCCAGGGAGGAAACTGACATCAAATCACACTGGAAAACCCAAGGACTGCCTCCAGCAAGGCTCTCTCAGCCAGAAAGTTAGTGGGGCCACCCTGGGGATGCCTGGGGTAGGAATATGAAGGGTAGGGGTTCTCAAATAAATTCACAGGAAGAGCTAATGCAGCAGGCAGGAGAGGGGCTCCAATTAGGCCGAACACCACAGGCATTCTTGCCAGTGCGGAGAAGGGTTACTTGTGAGGCATCCTCCCCCATCCCCTCCAACTTCTGGACCTCTGTACAAACCCTTAAGCTGCCTCCACAGGTGAGTGTTGCTGGGGGCAGGGCTGGGCCCACCCTGGAGGGGTTCTCCCTGTGGGCTGCAGGAGGGAGGGAGGGAAACTGAGGGGTGACTGCCTGGGAGGGCCCGGGCCCAGTCCCCCTCCCCCCTTCCCCCTTTGGCCTGGCTGAGGCACCTGAAGCTCTGGGGACTTCTGGCTGAGGTCAGCAAAGGCATCACCCAGTGCATGCTGGGTCTGCAGCAGGCTGTAGAGGTGGGCTGTCAGTGCCCGGCCCAGCTGCAGGACACTCTCATACTTGCGCTTCGTCTCACGCAGCAACTCAATCTGCAGCTCTAGCTCCAGGTCCACAGTCCGGGAGCCTCGGCCAAATCGCTCTGATAACAGCTGCTTTGTGCACTGATTGGGAAGTGGGGGAATAGGTCAGAGACCCTAGCACCCTCCCCCAATAGGTACCTACCCCAGCATCCCCAGGTTCCTAGTCTGAGCCATAGATGGGACATTGCAGTCTGGGGAGAAGGGAAAAGGGTACCCAGGGAAGTTCAAAGGACAAGAAGAGGTGTTTGAGTCCCACCTTGTATGTGTTGATGCCCCATTTCTTGACGATGTCAAACTTCTCTCCAGCGATGCCCCGAGCCACCTCATCTCCAGGGCCAGTGGGAGTGGCACTGTGAGATGGATGCCGGCCGGACCCTAAAGGACCAAGTTCTCTGACACCAGCCTCTCTCAGATACAACCAGACACTTCTGTGGCCCCATCCATACTTCCCTCGCAGCACATGAAAACGACTTCCTGAAGCAGCAGAACGCTTCAGACACAATCGGATTCCCCTGCTCACTAGCAGGAACTCATACCTTGCACCCCAAGAACTAAATCCTAGCATACATCTCCATGAGTTCCTCTGGCCACCTTCTGACAGGGTCAAGGATGGTGGGATCTGGTAACAGGAAACCTGGTAAGGTTCAGGGCTATTTTTCCTCTAAACTTTAGAGTCTAAAGTAAAACTCTGAGAAGCCTCACAAAGTTCCAAATCAGCCTTAAGCTCCAAAGCAAGGGAACTCCTGTGAACTAGACATCTTAACCTGGTTTAGGTGGTGGCTGCAAGGAAAGAATAGGTACATCTGAGGGGCTAAGTGGCAAGTGGCAGCAGATGGCCAACCCTGGGAGCTGGCCTTGGGCTGAGGAGGATCTGGGGGTTCATACTGGCAGGACTTCCCAAGACCTCCAGACATAACTCAAGCTTCCCTAGGCATATCATAAGCTCCCTAGAACCATTCCAGTCCCCACTCTGCACTCAAGCTTTTTGTCTCTGATCATTCATACCTGTGGGGATGAGTCCATCACCAGAGCCCCCATAGCCACCAGACACAATGCTGGTTTCATTAAGGTTGGGTCCTGACACCATCACCTGCTGGAGGTCCTATAGGCCAGAGAAGAGGGAGGCTTCAGGAACACAGGGGCAGCTGAATCATTTTGGGGGCTGGGGGGCGGGAACAAGGTTGGATTGAAGCATCACAGAGAGAGCAAGGGACATCTGCACAGAATCAGACTGAAGATTTATAAAAAGATTGAGGGGAGTTAGATAAGTTAGGGGAAGGCTACTGGAATGGGATAAGAGTCCAGAGTTTATGAGTTGGGATTCAGTTAGGAGAAGAATCAAAGACAAGCACCTGCTCCAGCCCATCATCCTCAGGAAGCTGCCCAGCTTCACCGTTCCCGTGGATGGGGATCTCCATTGTGGCTGCCTTCCCTAAGATCCCGTCCGTCATGGCTGGGGCAGGGACTGGAGTCAAAGTCTCCACCCCAGGGCCCTGCAAAGCCCAACACAGGTGGTTTTGGGAACTGGCCAGCACTCTAGAAGGGGAAGACCTCTCTTGCCATTTCTGAGGTTTTAGAGGTTATCCCCAGCACTTACGAATGTCTTGGGGTTCAGCCACCACTCCTTTCCTTAGATATATGAACTTCTCCCCTCCAAGGTACACATTTTTATACATGCACACCTAGGCCTCAGGTGTCTTCTCATAACCTCCCAAACCCACCAGGATTCAGGTAATCATTCATTCAATCAACAGATGTTGAATGAGTGCCTGCATTGTGTCAGGCACAATTTGAGGCCCTGGGAATACAACAGTAAACAAAAAAGATAAAGTCTGTGCCCTCTTGGAGCTTATCCCATTCCGGTGTGTCTTCCCCCCTCCTCCCACCAGGAGATGAACCCCTTCCCAGGGCTCAGCTGCCCACTTCCCATTCAGACATGTCCTGCATTGCTTGGCATTTCCCACTCCTTTAGTGTTTCTTCCCCCCTTCTTCAAGTGGTCGCTCCTTCCTCCATCCCACGCACCTCCTTCTCCTTCTCAGGCCCACCCCACCAGGCCTTAGTTGAATCAGTTGGTGTATGTTCCCCGCCTGTTGGTAAAAGCCTCTTCTTTCCAGAACATAGGTGATCCCTTCCAAAGTCAGTTATGTTTTCCCAGGTGTGTGAGTCCCCGCCCCTCCCCCATTCACCTGGGCATCAGGTGTGTCCCCATCCTTCCCCAGTGCTCAGGGGCATCTTCCCCTCAGGACAGGTTTGTGCGTTCAACTCCCTCTCGCCCAAGTATGTCCCTCTCACCTCGGGCCGGGCCGCTCTTCCCCTCAGGGCGCCAGACCCGGGCCGCGCGGGGACCTCAGGCTCCAGTTCCCGTCGCGATCCTAGCAGCAGGTCAGGAACTCGGCGGAAGTGACATCCCCTCCCGGGCAGAAGAAGCCGGCCACGTCGCAGATTATAAGGGCGGAACTGACGTTTGCTGCCGGGGGCAGGGCGATTCTTGAGCCAACCCCTCAGTCCTTGGGGAAGCGGCGCGAGATCACTTCCGGGGTGTTTTCAAACTGTAACGGAAGTGATGTAGGCGTGGGCCGGCGGCGTGATGGAGCAGCAGCAGCAGCAGCAGCAACAGCAACTGAGAAATGTGAGTGGGCGCTAAGTTGCTCCAGAGTCATACCTTCAGCTCCCATGCCTGCTCGCGTCGCGTGTACCCCAAAGAGCCAAGGATCCGGGGGCTGCGAACTTCAGGCTGTGGTTCGCGGCCCAGGGCAACCTCGGGAGGCTGGGCTGAATTGAAGGACACCTTATCGCTGAGTCCCTGGTCCCCTTTACCTGCAGTTGCGGGACTTCCTGTTGGTCTACAATCGGATGACAGAACTCTGCTTCCAGCGCTGCGTGCCCAGCCTGCACCACCGAGCTCTGGACGCTGAGGAGGTGGGGGACAGAGTAGGGTTAGGAAGGTTAGCCTAGGTCCTCAGAGTTAACGATAGTCTGCTTCCCCGCCCCCCCATCCCTACCCCTCACTTCTGCTTCTGGCCTTAGCCTTTCCACGGCCTTCGCCCTTAGGCTGGGGTTGGGGAAGGAAGGAGATGAGGCCTGACCGGACCCCTTCGGCCCCTACTTCCACCTTGTCTTCTTTTTAGGAGGCCTGTTTGCACAGCTGTGCTGGGAAGCTGATCCATTCCAACCACCGCCTCATGGCCACTTATGTGCAGCTCATGCCTGCCCTGGTACAGCGCCGCATCGCAGACTATGAGGCTGCCTCAGCTGTGCCAGGTGTTGCTGCTGAACAGCCTGGAGCCTCGCCATCAGGCAGCTAGCTATTTCCCACCCCCAGAAGGGGAGGGACTGGACCGACCTTCCCATTGAAGGAGCCAGTGGACCTTGGGCTGGGTAAAGCATGTACAGAGAAAGTGAGGGGTTGCCTGAGAGACGGCTATCTTTGCTCTTTTTCCTGGAGCTAATAAACCTGCTTTTCTACTGTGTTTCGTTTTTTGGCGGGGGCAGTGGTAAGGAACCCACTTTATTGGCACCATCCTTTGTTCTGTGAGTCAGTGCATATATTACCTTCAGCTCTGGCTGCTGAGAAGTTGCCTTTTATGTGCAGAAGGGAAACCTCAGTATCCCAGGCTCCTGGTTCAAGCAGGGTATGTGGGTACAGTTTTAAGGTTGGTTCTTGCCCAGATGACAGAAAATATGAGCCCTGTCTAGCTGTCCTTGAGACTTAAATGGCTCACTTGTGAGCCAAGTATGTATTAGTTCATAACTATTTTTTCATGGACTATATTTTATAAGAAAGGATTCTACCAGGTCTAGGGAAGGCAGGAGATATCTAAGGACAACAATTCGAAAAACAACAGGGTTTCTAGGCACTACCTCCTATGAAATTAGTAGCCACAGAACAGAGATGAAACTTGTAAGAATTCTGGAGTGTTCTGGAACCTCTACCATTTCTTACTATTTCCTGTCTTCTCAGGATGAGCAATAAAAGCTTTAAACAATAAAGGTCTATGTGCTTGCTTTCAGGGCAGCCAGGAAGGGGAAAACTTGGGGGACCATATTTTGTAATATAGCCAGACATGAGGGGGACAAACTCAAGGGAGAAGTAGAAGGCAATTTCTCAGCAGCCAGGGCTGAAGCCAACAGATATGCACTAACTGACAGAACAAATAATGGTGCCAAAAAGGGATAAAGGATAAAAAAAGATAAAGCCAAATCTTTGGGACGTCTTTACTGTTACCTCAATATTTCACCCCTTGTCTATAAACTCTCAACTCCAGCTCTTTCACTCTCCTACCCCACATTGTTCTCCCTGTACCTATTCTGTCATTTCTAATGCTAGTGTCTCCATTCTTGCCTCATTTATTGCCCTCCTTGTGTAGTTCATTTCTGTATTATCTATCTGAATGGCATATCCCTCCATCACCCCATTTTCTTGCTGTCCTTGGCCCCTATGTATCAATCCAGTGTTTATCTTTTCTATTTCTCCATTCAAGCTGCTACAGAAAAACACAATTGTTTAATGGAAGCCACTAAAAATTCTTTGTCTCCAACCTCAAGTCAAGCTCTCACAACCAATAAGCAATCCTTTATATGTTTCCTGGTGGTGCAGTGGTTAAGAGCTACGGCTGCTAACCAAAACGTCGGCAGTTCGAATCCACCAGCTACTCCTTGGAAAACCTATGGGCCAGTTCTACTCTGTCATAGGGTCACTATGAGTTGGAATCGACTCAATGGCAATGGGTTTGTTTTTTTTTAATATTCTTAATCTAGTCCTTTGCCTAATCACTGTGACAGTTATTTTACACCTTCACTGCTCTCCTTAATCCCCTACCCCACCTTCAGCTATCCTTCACTGGTGTGGTTCATTTTTCACAGAGGAAAATCGAAGCTCTTTAGACATTTGGCTCCCAACATACAATTTTTTTAAATTTATAACCACCCACAAAGCAGATATTCTCTCCCTTCTACAGATCAGGAAGCTGAAATTCTCAAGTAGGAGACCCTGAATTAAAGTCCATGTTCTTTTTACTACACCAGGCTGCCTCTCAAAATAATATCTATTAAGAACTCACTTCGTGTAGGTTCTGATGTTGGTATAGGTCATGCTTTATCTTAATATTTACAGCAAAACCAGAAGTAAGAGGTTTTATCCCCACTTAATAGATGATAAAGCAAGAATCCAGGATGTACCGGAGGCCCATCTTACACACAATTTCTTATTGAGAAAAGTGGCTCCAATCAGTGTTTTTGCCCTCTTCAGCTGCTGTCTCTTGAATGGAAAGGTTTGTTAGGTGAAAGTTGCTGACCAGGGACCTTCCTACTGACAGGTTTTATGTCTGCCCAATAAAATTCTCCCCTTGGGAAAAGATTAGTCCAAAGGAATAATGGACTACAGCTACCATGGCGTCCACCAGACTGAGTCCAGTACAGCTAGATGGTGCCAGGCTACCACCACTGACTGACCAGGATCACAACAGAGCGTCCTGGACAGAGCTGGAGAAGGATGTAGAACAAAATTCTAACTCACAAAAAAAAGACCAGATTTACTGGCCTGACAGACTGGAGAAACCCCGAGAGTATGGCCCCCAGACACCCTTTTTGCTCAGTGGTGAAGTCACTCCCGAGGTTCACCCTTCAGCTGGGGATTGGACAACCCCATGAAACAAAATGACTAATGAGTCAAAGCAGTTGAGGGACAAGGACTAGAAGGCAGGAGGGGACAGGAAAGCTGGTGATAGGGAACCCAAGATTGAGAAGGGACAGTGTTGATATGTTATGGGGTTATTAACCATTGTCATAGGGCAACATGTCTACTAACTGTTTAATGAGAAACTGTTCTGTCAACCTTCATCTAAGGTACAAAAAAAAAAAATTATGTGAGATCAAATTGACAACAGCAGTTCAAAAGGTTTGATGGGAAGCCTAAGGGACAGTTGAAGATAATGGCGATGGAGTAATTTGGAAAAGGATAGTGAGAATAGCAGCACAACTGGAAGAATGTAATCAATGTCACCGAATTGTACATGTAAAAACTTTTAAAATGGTGTAACTTTGGCTATGTATATTTTCACCAAAAAAAAAAAAAGTTCCTCCAAGGTCAAGAAGGGAAAGTGTTGACATGTCATGGGATTGTTAACCAATGTTATAAAACAATATGTGTACTGACTGTTTAATGAGAAACTATTCTGTAAACCTTCATCTAAAGTGCAATAATAAAAAAATTAAAAAATTCTCCCCTTGGACAGTATAAACACAGGTGAAGTAATTTGTAAACCTCCCAACTCCCGGCAGGAGAATGGGATATTTATTGTGCTATTGGTAGAGGAATTCTACATCAATGTTTGTGTACATCCTTGCAATAAACTTCCATTGTGAATTGTATTTCCTCTCCATATCACAAAACTAGTAACTGCTGGAGAAAGGCTAGGAACAGAGATCTGTCTGATACGAGAAAAACCTTTTTCCTACCAGTTCACCTTCCATAGTCACTAAGTCTCCCTCAGGTCTTGCCATAAAGTGGTATGCATTGCCAAAATGAGGACAATGTGATGTTTCAGGCACAACACAGGAATAAATGTTGACAATGCTTTTTCACATCACACACGTAGAGGAGACAGGGTTGGTATTCCTGTCATTGTGATGTCAGAACTTCCTGCGTATTCCCTGGCAAATGCTCATTTCTTTGACGCTATTCAACCACACCACCCTCTCTCGTTACTTGTCCTTACTAACTACCACTCCCTTGCCAGTTGCCTCTAAGTACCTAGGCCATGGTCTTCCTATGTATCCCTTGATACTTTAATGTCTACATGGACGGTCCATTCGGTATTTTGGTCTCTTATTTCCTTAACCCAAGCACCAACTATTTCTACTCTGTCTTAGCTACCTTAGTTAAATCCTGGCTATTGTCATCACCTCAAACTGCTCTATCTTCAAACACTGGTATTTGCATCCCATTCACGGACCATATTTGTTTATTGAACTATTCCTTCTACAACCATTCTTTAATTTTACTGGAGCATTCAGGCCATTGCTGCATCTACCTTCTGTACATTAGCACCTTCCTGTCTTTAGATTTGTATCCAGCTTAAATTTTAGTGATTTTTCTGCAATGGGCTAAATTTTTTTGCCCCTCATCCTTGTCAGATACTTCTAGCAAAATACCAACTGTCATGGATTGAATTGTGTCCCCCCAAAATATGTGTCAACTTAGTTAGGCCATGATTCCCAGTATTGTGTGGTTGTCCTCCATTTTGTGATTGATATAATTTTCCTATGTGTTGTAAATCCTAATCTCTGTGATTAATGAAGCAAGATTAGATTATGTTAAGGAGAATTAGGGTGGGATGTAACACCCTTGCTCAGGTCTCATCCCTGATCCAATGTAAGGGGAGTTTCCCTGGGTTGTGGCCTGCACCACCTTTTATCTTACAAGAGATGAAAGGAAAGAGAAGTGAGCAGAGAGACAGGGGAACCTCAAACCACCAAGAAAGCAGTGCTGGGAGCAGAGTGCGTCCTTTGGACCTGAGGTTCCTGCACCAAGAAGCTCCTAGTCCAGGGGAAGATTGATGAGAAGGATCTTCCTCCAGAGCCGACAGAGAAAGAAAGCCTTCCCCTGGAACTGACACCCTGAATTTGGACTTCTAGACTACTAGACTGTGAGAGAATACATTTCTCTATGTTAAAGCCATCCAGTTGTGGTCTTTCTGTTACAGCAGCACTAGATGACTAAGCCAATAGCCTTAGATAAAGTGAAATATTTGTCTATGCCTGCATTTTGGACAGCTGAATGCTGCCCAACGAAATCACTATAGAGCCACTCTGAATCTATGCTGCCCAACCTCAAATTGAGTCTCAGCCCCTATAATCCCACTAGATTTTTCTAGTCATCTCTCCTGCTTCCTACAATGACAATTTCAAACTGATATTCTTAGCCCTCTTATTATGCACCCCTCTTTTCACTTCCTGCAGGTAACCTTACTTCACAGACAAAAGTAAAAGCCATTAGATGGGAAACTTATTCACCCACCTACATCTGCCTCATCCTCTCCTCTTTCCCTCCTGTGTAAACAGAGCAAGTGTCCCTCTTATTTAAGGCCAATGCTTATTCCTGTGATCTGAGTCCAAGTCCTTTCTTCTTTGGAATTTATGATTTCCTTCCACTTTACTAAATTCTTTTCATCAGTGTTTAAGCAAGCTAAAGACTCCCCTATTAAACAAACCATTCTGGACTCCACTTCTCCTCCAGTTACCATGCTATCTTCCACTTTACACCTAAACTTTTCAAAATAGTTTACGTTAGCCCTCTCAATCTTACAGGTCTGTTTTTCACTCCTATTCTTTAACCCACTCTGTTTTGACTTCTGCAACACTTATCCACAGGAAAAGTTCTTACTAAGGTCACCCTGGCTTACCAAGGTGACCTTCATATCCCTGAATCCAATGATTATTTCCCGGTCCTTGGCTTACTTCACTTCTCCGTATCATTTGGTATTATTTACTAGTTCTTCATCATCGACCCCCTTCCCTTGATGTCTGTGATACCACTCCGTTGGCTTTACTAGTACCTCTTTGATTGCAGCTTTTTAGCCTCCCTTTGCAAGCTCACCCTTTTCCCAGTCTTTTAAAAGTTTGTCTAGGTCCTGTTCTTTCTCAGTCTCATTTTTCTAAGACAGTTTCATCCCCACTACAGGTCATAGCTACTGATGACTCCCAGATCCCTCCCTCAAGTTCCTTTCATTTCCACTTACATGTCTCAAAATCTTTCCCCAAAACTTAACAAATTTAAGGCCAAACGCATACACTTTCCCCCATCCCTAGTACTCATTCAGTTGCAGAAGCTAGAAACCACCTAGGCACATTCCTCTTTCTCACCCTTCATTCAAATGCCAAATTCTATCAGTTTGCATTTCTAAATATCCTTTGACTCTGTCTGCTTTCCATCTTCATAATCTTCCACTAGGGTTACTGCAATTGCTTCTCCCTATATCCACCTTTCCACCTCTCCCATCTGTTTTCACTCACCAGCCAGAAAACACGAACTGATGCTTAAAACCTTGCAATACCTTCCCATTATTCTTGGGATATAAACCAACTAAACATGACCTACAAGGCCCTGCGTGATCCAGCCCCTGCTTACCTCCAGCTGTATGTTATCTGTGACTGTCAAAGAGTCAATACAATTTGCAGAGTTGAATCACACTTAACTCTCTCCTCTCTGTGTTCCAACTACACTGGCCTTTCAGTTCCTCTAACCTGTCATGCATGATTCCATCTCAGCATATCTGCACCTGTTGTTCCTGCATTTCCCTCTTACTCTGTCTTCTTAACTCCTATTCATTCTTGAGATCTTGGTTCTTGATTCAAATATTATTTCTTCAAAGATCTCTTCTTAGACTCCAGCTCTCATATTTCCTCATGCTTTTGGTATGTCACACTTCTAACAGTTTGTAATTGTATATCTCATTAGGGCAGAATCCATGTCTGTGTTGCTCACCATTATATCCTTAACATAGTGACTGGCACATAAAATGCGCTTGATAAATATTTGTTGAATGAATGTCTTTCAGACTTTCCCAGCTCAATCTAATGTTAACATAACCAGAGAAAGGCTTTCTATCAAAAGAGACAGCAATGAGCCTGCAAATTTAACCTTTGACCTTTCAGCAAAGATTTAGATG